AGTTTTCTGGGGTTTTTTTAATGCCTGTGTGTTTACTTGGGAGATATATATAAAGTCTTACCTCTTTGCTTTCTCCAAGGTCAGATTCACTGCTAAATTCTTCTGTGTTTATATTTTCAAAATCTGATTCTCCAATTGCAATAGGCACTGTCACAGTGAGGCCTGGATTATTTATAAATGACATATAGTCATTTTCGTCAATGATGTATTTTTCCACACTGCTGCCGGTGCCTACACCACTTGTGGTTCCGTTCCCATCTCTCAGATAATTAACATCCTTAGTTATTTCGACCATGGTGTGGTTGGAAATGTAGAGATCTCTCTTGTGGTTTAGTTCTTCAAGCACTTTGATGTCTTCAATAGCTTTCTGCTTCCTACAAACACTTTTTTGGACAACTTCTCGCATTTTTTTCTTCACATAATCTATTCCCTTCTGAATCCTTGCCACAGCAATCTGGAGGTTGTTCATCTCATTGTCATCATCTGTAGCAGCAAGATTATCTGAACTAAAGGAGCTCAGCAGCAAAGCTAGGAACAGGTTCAGTACCTACGAGGCAGGAAGAGAACACGTCAAAGTAAAAATGAGATTCCTTCACAGAGAGAAAAAAGAAAGGTGAAACAAAAACAACAATGAGGCACAGATAATAATAACCTTGTCTTGTATCAGCGGAAGCATTACAGAGAGACTGCTTTTTACGGTCCCCATATATCATTATACTACTAAGAGTCAGAGTCCTCATCATCTTTAATTAGCATATTCAAAGGTCAGGGATGATGATGGCCCAACTACATCTATGGAGTGGGAGATCCCAGAATGGGAATTCTTCGATTAGAAGTTGATAGTTAAAGGTAGCTTCTTAAAACATGATGTATACTGTTCAATCCTTAAGTTCCTGTTTTCCTGCTTATCTACTCTATCTCCTTCTATTTCTTTCCTTAAATGGCACCTTCAGAAACAGACTTGGTCTACACATGCAGAGAGCAAAGTGGTAAAATTCTGACTGGGTGCTGTACTGCCAGCATGTTCTCTGTTATACTAGCACGCAGGCACATAATAGGGTATGGAATATACTTCTACGCACATGGTTTCCTATTCCTCTACTTCATTCTGTTCTGCTCACAGACCAAACATTAGATCAGATTATTTGACTCCTACTCCAGATGTCTACTGATGGCCCTGTTCTCCATGAATTTGCCCATGCTTTTATTGCTTCATAATACCTGGTGCTAATCTTACAAACTGCTATTTAGAAGATTTGCAAAAATCAGGAAATGGTCACCAACCTGGACAGCTTTAAAGAAAAACCAGACAAATTCATGGCGAATAAGGCTGTCAAAGGCTACCCGTTATCATGGGTGGATATTATCTCCAGTATCACAGGTAGTGTGCTTGGAAACACAAGCAAGAGGGCAGATTTACCTTCATGTCCTGCCGGTGGACACCCAAAGGCATTTAGTTAGAACACTGTAAGAACAGAATGGGCCGGGGGAGCCTTTGGCTTGGCCCAGTAGGGCTCACCTTACGTTCTTGCACTTTTGTTTTAGAACATAACTTTTCTGCTCCCATTATATTTGGGAAATCTTATCATAGACCAGTGATGGCAAACCTATGGCACGCTTATCATAGACCAGTGATGGCGAACCGATGGCACGCGTGCCACAGCTGGCACACAGAGCCCTCTCTGTGGGCACCCAAGCCATAAGTCGCCATTGACACCATCCTCTGATCCTGGATTTCGGCACTCCCCTCTGCTGGTGCAGTGGTCCAGCGGAGGGGGTGCAATGGCGACCATTACCAGTCTAGCCCAATGTGGGATTGGAGGACCAGTAAGTATTTATTTGTTAATACCACCCATAGGGGGGGGGGAAAAAAACAAGCATTTAACCCTTGCAGTGCAGGAGAGATTTTTTTTTCTAAACTGAAACCTCAGTATTTGGGTTTTAATTGCAGGGTTGGCCCTTTAAGTTGATTTTGTGTTGCTGTTTGGGCACTCGGGCTCAAAAAGGTTCCCAATCACTGTCATAGACTATGATTTGAAAACAAACATATTCATGTATAGAGGGAACAGCACAATGGCAGTGAGGTTCTCCTCTTAACATTTTAGCAACTAAAACCCTAATTTCCCAAGAGGCAAGCTGTTTTTGACACTCAAAGGCCTAAAACCAACATGACCCTGGAGGCAACATAAGGAATTCCAGCTCCCCCTGCAGCCCCCTCAGAGCTGCCCGAAAACCTGCTCTGGAGACCCTCTCCCAGGATATGTTTTAATTACTTGGATAGAGCACTGCAGGAAGAAGGGCGATTCCCTCGCTTGTGCTGGGTTTCCCCTTTTGTGCAAGGAGAAGGCCAGCAAGCAGTCCTTGCCTCTTTTGCACAAAAAATACAACTGCTTGAAGAAGGGGAAAAAAAAACACCTCTAGCTGTGTTCTTGTTTTTTTGTTTTTTTCTGTACTCAGAAGGCTTCAGTGGATTGCCAGTTATATCTATTAAATAAGAAAGGTTTGGCTGCATGAAAATAGATACCTACACAGGCAACATTGAGGGGAAAGGACACACTCCTTGGCTGCATCCACGCTCTCACCAAATCCCTTATTTTCCTTTTGCTGGCCCACATCGCTCATGAACTAGCATAATTCCTCACCACAAAGGCTCTTCCTTAACCCCACGCCCTGAACCCTTTCAATTAGGTCACATAATAGATCCAGGAAGACACTGGACACAGAGGAAATCTTTGAATTGCCAGTTTTTCTTTCTATTACAGAAATGCAGAAGGGGAAAAGGAGAACAGCCGGAAGTGAGGCTGCCCATGGCTTTTCGGATGAAGGAACGCCAGTAACAAACAGGGCTCAGAGGAACACTTCTCAGAAGCAACTACCTTGAAGAACAGCACGGGAAATGCTCCAGGAAAAAGACAGATTTGTATTATTTTCTGCTGATTTTAAGACATGCAAGTCAATGCAAAACAGCCGGAAGTTCCCCAACTACACAAACCTTTTCCCTCAGGGGCTTCAGATAGTGTGAGTACTTGGGCCAATGCAGAAAAGTATGTGTAGGGGTACTGGTGGTTGGCAGGGTGAGAAGAAATGAATAAACGGAACACTCATAGGGGTGTCAATTCCCCTTAACCAAGCACCCTTGTCTCCGAACCATTAAAAAATATAGTTTGATGCCAGCACTGGAATAAGGTTGTGATAGAGTATCTAGGAGACCAAAAGAGAGGAAGAGAGAGAAAGAAGGAAATTACCAATCCGTCTTTGTTTGCAGCTTGTTAAAGCAGCTTCTGCTGTAGCTATGCCTCCTGTAAATCTGGCCAGCTACAGCAGAAAGTGCCTTAACAAGCTGCAAACAAGGGTTGATTAGCAATTTCCTCCTCTCTCTCTCTGCTGACTCCTATTTGCCGGCTAAAGTGAATTCACCTGAGGAAACCTGACCTCCCAGGTATCAATGCACATTTTTCCCTGCTGTGTAGTCACTCCCACAATCAGTTTACTGCATACTTGGCAAATACTTTCTTTTCTTCCCAAAGATTAATGTTCTTTCAAGGATGAAACACATACAAGTCTTTCAGAGAAGACTGCCCAAGTCTAATACAGATTCGTCATCAGACTTTACCTTAGAAATTTTTCTTCAAAGTAATAAATGAAATATGAGTTTTGGACATTATAACACCACTATACAGTTTTGACAAAGACCAATTAATAACAACATACCACTAAGTTTCCAATCACCATGACCAGCATGAAAACAATAAGGCACATAGTCTGGCCTGCAACCTCCATACAGTCCCACATGGTCTCTATCCATTCGCCACACAGTACTCGGAACACAATCAAGAAAGAGTGGAAAAAGTCATTCATGTGCCAGCGTGGAAGTTCACAGTCCTCTGCAATCTTGCAGACGCACTCCTTGTAGCTTTTGCCAAACAGCTGCATTCCAACCACGGCAAAAATGAAGACAATAATGGCCAGGACCAAAGTCAGGTTCCCCAGGGCACCCACGGAGTTGCCAATAATCTTGATCAGCATGTTTAGTGTCGGCCAAGATTTTGCTAATTTGAAAACCCGCAGCTGAAAACAATTGCAAAAAGACATTATTAGTATGTTTATAAATCTGAAAGACTGACAGTTCTTTCACATTAGTGTATTCTTACTTTATTCAAAATTGGTTTTGCCCTTTTTGCTTTTGCTTCATTAGAAAATGAAGACTGAACACGATCTGTCCAATTCTAGAAGGTAGATTTGGTTTTTATAGACAGAGACAGGGGCTTTGTGCTCCGTATTGAATAATGGTGTTCCTAATTCTTCTCCTCCCTCCCGCCAGGCTCTCTAGGCAGCCGTGGTTCTTCTGCAGCAGTGGCACACTAAACAATTCTGGAGCCCGACTGGACCGTCCCCACCTCCCCAGGTAGCAGATGACTCCTCAGCTACGTGGGGGGACTCTTACTCCTGCCTCCCCGCCAGAATGGTTGGCTGTCTCGGGAGCCCGACTGGTGGGAATGGACTGGTCGGGCTCCAGGTTGATTGGTGTGCCAACCATACTGCCTGTGGAGCTGATAAGTGGACCATGTGGTTGGGGGGAGGGAGCAAGGAGAGGGATTAGGAAAACATGGGCAGTGGCATTTCATGGGAAGCATAGTTTCCATCTCTACTTATACATATTTAGTGGAATGTAGGATATAGACCAGAGAATAGACAACAGACAACCTATTGAAAGCCACATTTTAATTTATAGATATATAGTCAGCATAATTCACATTGTATTTCTATGAATATTAAGATCTATATGGTAGGCATTCAACCACATCTGTGTCAATTCTTTTATGACATCTGTAAAGAGACCCAAGATGGGAAAAGCGGAGCCCAAGGACTACACATAGGTCCCAAATATGGTCCTTCACCTCCTCAGTTTTAACTTTTAAAAAATGTTGCTCAGGAAGCCCCCTTGTGCTCTCTAGAGACTGTGCGGGAACAATTTTGTCATGTCTGGAGGGTCCCTCAGTGCCCCCATCCTCCACACATGATCAATTTTTTTTTCTGTTTTATAAAATTCCAAGTGTCTTTTCAGTTTTTTTTAAAAAAAACTTTTTAAAAGAAAAATATTTTGGAATGTGCAGTTGTGTGCAGCTCTTCAAGAACTAGGAGTGAGTGCGTATAGTCCCTGGACTTCTGCAAATTACCTATCGCTGGACTAGTTGTTGTTACATGCTATCAAATCTCCTCCAACCTTTGGCGACTCTATGAATGAATGATCTCCAAAATGTCCTGTCCTCAACAACCCTGATCAGCTCCTGTAAATTCAAGGTCATGGTTTCCTTTAAGACAGTGGTTCCCAACCTTGGGTCCCCATATATTATTGGACTAAAAGTCCTATAGGCCTTAACCACTAGCTCTGCTAACCAGGATTCCTGGGAGTTGTAGTCCAAGAACATCTGGGCACCCAAGGTTGGGAACCACTGCTTTAGGGAGTCAATCCATCTTGTATTTGGTCTTCCAGCTTTCCTGCTACTTTCAGCCTTTCCCAGCATTATTGTCTTTTCCAGCAAATCTTGCCTTCTCATGATATGCCCAAGGTATGACAGCCTCAATTGCATCACTTTTTTGCTTCCAGAGATAGTTTGGGCTTGAACTTTCTCTGCTTTCTCTCTTTTTTTCCCTGTGAACTTTCTCATTTTTTTCCATTGTGAACTTTCTTTACTGTCCCATGTGTACACCCATACATAGTGTGGTCCCCAGTGACATAACCTTACAAGTCATGATCTTTTCTAATTTCTTTATTGCTGTCCTTCCAAGATTCAGTCTCCTGATTTCTTGGCTGCAGTCTGCATTTGGACGGATGACTGAACTAAAGTATTGGTTAGTACTGCGCAGAAGGATGCAATGGTAAATCACTACTGAATTTTCCTTACCATGAAAATCCTATGATGGGACAATCTTTTCCCTGCGTGGATGCACACTTCAATGTAGTGAAAGAATTTGAGTGTGGCAGTGAAGATGTAAGCAATGCCATCAGGCGGCTAGACTTTCGTTACGAGCCTGGACTCCATTCCCAAAGTGGAATGAACACAGCTGAGGCACTAGACCTTCTTCAAGGGTAATGGGCACATCAGCAGAAGAGAATGGATAGTTCCAGGGTGATGGGGGCAGCAGCTACAGGGCAGCAGTGGTAGCTGAAGGTGACACTGGTGAAGGAGGCAATGGTGGTGACACTCAGCTAACTTTTGTTAATACTGTGTAGAAGATGGCAATGGTAAACCACTATTGAATTCTCCTTCCCATGCAAACCTTATGATGAGACAGTCCTTGGGCTAGACATACACATAAAATCTCAGACCATTGGTGGACTTATTCATTACTTTCATTATTTCTCAAATTATATATGTTAAATTTAAAGCTGTAAAAAATTTCATGATCATTTTTACAAATTCTGTCAAATGTTGATTTAAGGTTTGTTGTACTAGTGCAATTTTGACATTCTTGTAATCACTATCAGCGCAGTAAATAATGTAGGAAAGTAGCATCCAGATACCTGTACATTGATTATGAATACTGAAATCTCCATTTATTTCAGTACTTGCTTCTCTAGATTACCTTCATATCAAGGTTGGGCTAAGTGTGATCTATCACACCGTAACTCCTATCAGACCTAACCATCACATATAGTGATGTGCAATGCTGGGATTTACAGTCCAGATAGGTCTGGATGGATGAATCCCCGTCCTGTTCCATTAAATGTTAAATGCCTGTTGTAATATTCTTTGCCAAACAGGTACATACTAGGCTTGGCCACTGTGTTTTTTTCAAGCAAGAAGAACATACCCACAATTACTTGTATTCCACGTACAGTACATGCATACATTCAGTATACATAGCCCAGGTAACAAAGAAATTCTAAGTTGTTCTACGTACATGCATACATTCAGTATATATAGCCCAGGTAACAAAGAAATTCTAAGTTCATAAATGCTACCATACTTGAAAAATGGGACAGACAGACAGATAAACTAATATTCTTACTTGATTTTAAATGCATTGGTCCACTATATATTCCCCAAAACAAACACTAAAGTTTTTATTCTATGCACTTCATTAGGGAAACATTTGCCTAGAAATACAGCAGAAAATACTTAGTAAAAAAATAACGTTCAATATCTCTCCTTTAGTGCAACCTTGAAAATGGTGGTGGTGGTGGTGATTAGAGATGGGGGTATTTGTATATGAATACAAATATCCCTCCGCAGCAGGACTTAACAAGGATCCGGCCTCTGCAGCCGGACCATCCACTCATGCATCCGGGGCGGCGGCAGCCTCACTCATCCTTCCAATCACAGCAGGACTTAACAAGGATCCGGCCCCTGGAGCCGAACCATCCACTCATGCGTCCGGGGCGGCGGCGGCCTCACTCATCCTTCCAATCACTCCCAAAGCCTCACTCTCTTTCCTCTCAGTTGGCCACTCAGCAGCCACGCAGGGGGACTTGTCCTCCCTTCCCCTGCTTGGAGTGGCTAGCTGAACTCATTAAATCCAGCTCCACAGGGTTATTTGTATACGAATACCCTCATCTCTAGTGATGATGCATTTCACATATACCGTAAATGCCAAAGATTATATGAAAGCTGGTGTTAAAGTAATTTGTTTATTTACCAGTCTGAAGGATCTTAGCACTGACAGTCCTTCCACATTCGCAAGGCCCAGCTCCATCAAACTCAAGCTGACAATGATGCCATCGAAAATATTCCACCCTTCTTGGAAATAATAGTAAGGATCCATGGCTATCACTTTGAGGGCCATTTCTGCTGTGAATATCCCAGTGAAGACCTAGATGTAAATATAACTCATTAGCATACATTTTAAGTTGGTTCTTTAAATCAGCCATTCTGAACCTTTTTTTTTTTTTTTTTGCCCATGACCATAAATACGATATGAAAGAAATATAGGCTGAATCAGAATTATCAGGTGGTGTGTGAAGAAGTGTTTCCAGTCTGTGGCCCCTTTCAAATGGGCCAGGACTCTCCAGGAAGGTCGTAAATCTGAGAATGGCTGCTTTAAATTACAGCATCAGAGTAATATTTTAACTTCAAGAACTGTATACTGATTTATTTATTTTTTGGCAAAAGGAAGCTGCTTGTACCATATCAAGTTAGATCACTGGTCTATTGGGATCAGTGTCGCCCACAGGGACTAACAAAAGTTCCTCCTGAGCTTCTGAGTCTTGTTCAGTATTTCCTGACCTTTCACAGAAGTTTCAGGGGCAGAAACAGGAACACAAAGCAGATGGTGTGCCACAAATGTACAGACCTTCCTTGTTTAAAAGCATACAGATTGATAAAGTCTGCAAAAAATTTAGTCTGCGTAAAGGCATGCAAACATTAAAATTTTCTGATAACAGAAAACAATGCATCGCAACATTCAGCCATTTCTTTTGTTTAAAAAAAAAGGAAGTAAATATTACAGATTCTAATGGGGCTCACCAAACTAAAATGTTGAGTTTAGAACTGTCAGGTCTCTTTTATGCATGAAAATCAACATTAGAATAGCAGATTATGCTAAACTTTAGATACCTTCCTTGCTGTCTGTTCCTTTTCACATTCATTGCTGACACTGTATAAATATTACAGAAGATATTTTCAGGTAACATAGCCTAAAAATACTGCCATTTGCTTCCATCCAGCATATGTACCACTTTTCATTATATGTATGAAATGTAAGTTTCAGATGCAGTGTAAACATAATTTACAGGTTGTCGTTAAAAAAATAGTGCTTGAAAGGATATGACCGATTCTAGGTTACACAGCTGTCAATCATGATTTCTCATTGTAATTTCCTTTGCTGCACGTACAAAAAAAGGTCATTCCTTCCCAGATTTTAATCAATCAACATACGAGAAAACAGGTCACAGGAAATAGTAAATTAACTTTCTTTGGATAGAAAACAACAAAATGAGATCAACAGGGCAAGAGTGAGAAAGAGTTGAAGTTTTAAATTATTATCAGTGTGAAGGACAGTATAAACATATGCTTTCCCCTAATTAAATTAATATACATAATGAAGAATGTTCCATACATTAGGCTCAGAAAAAACAACAACAATGTGCTCTGTTGTACAAGCGCACACTGCCGGGAGCCAAAGCCCTCTGGGAGTATCCTGCAGTCTCTACCTGTTCTATAACGATAATAGTCACATGCCATCACATCAGTTCTGACTTACGGCGACCCTTCTCAGGGTTTTCTAGGTAAAGAATACACAACAGCGTAACAGCGATTTACCATTCCCTTCCGCTTGGGGCACCGCTGGACGCTGCACCTTGCCCAAGCCCAAACAGGCTGGCACTTCTCCCAGGAAGCACAGGGGGGAATCAATGTTCCAACCTCTGGCTCCACAGTCACATACCTACACCACTGAGCTGACCAGCCAGCTACCTGTTGGGGATCAATGTCCCAATCTCTGGCTCCACAGTCACATACCTACACCACTGAGCTGACCAGCCAGCTACCTGTTTTATACATATGCTTTAAAAGCAGGTGGTTGGGACACAGATACTAGATTATCACCATGTTCTATCTGGATACCTGCTGCAATATATATGTATAGGATGTACAACATAATGAAAATACACCATCAATACAGACTGTAAGCATAAACCACAAAATCAAACCAATAACACATTGCAACACACACATTTGTAAAGCATGCCTGAGAGAGAGAGAGGAGAGCAGTCAGGTGCATTTCCTTCTTGCACCTCTCTCCAACAGCTATGGACTAGATTTATTTTTAGCCTCTCTTCCCTCCACATCCCTTATTTCTTGTGGGTCATACATTTTACATTGTAAAACTGAAGTTAGTAGGTAGGCATCCTTCAGTCTCAAGAGACTACGGTAACATGCTCTGAATTAGAGGTCTTGGAACAGCGTCTAGTGTGGGTGAGAAGGCCAATTCGAGAGTGACAATCCTTTTCCTTCTGAGGGAAGGCAAGCAACAAGCAAGTAAGAAATAAAAGGCCACAGGGTGAGGTTACATCTCAAAAAGCTGAGTGAACAAGTATGTTTTTATTTCTCAAAAATACAACAACTGAGAGGCCAGCTCTATTTCTGCAAGGGAATGGTATGATCAGGCGGATAGCACCAAGCAGGTATTTTGTGAGACACTATTCCACAGGGCATCCTTATTGGGCAGATCACCAGCAGGTCTTCCCAGAATAGCTGGTAAAGGAAAACAGGCTTGTTTAGGAACTTTGATCCTAAAGCATTTAAGGCTTTTTTTATGCAATTGGCTCCAATTGGGCTGGATAGATCCGAGACAGGACTTTAAAGAGGGAGAGTTAAATGATTCCACTCAGCCGCACCCCTAGCAGTTGCGTTCTGCACCAACTGCAATTTCTGGGCATCTCCAAGGCTAGCCCCATGCGCTGAAATAATTTACTCATAAGATTATTAGAGCACAGATATCTAAAGCCAAGTTATCCTGGGCAAGGAGTGGTTGTAGCTGGCAGAAGAGCTGGAGTTCTTCGGCACAGGTGCTCCTTATCCTTCAAACCACTACGGCCATTTTTAAAAGGCACTGATGTTTTTTTATTAAATTCAGGCCAAGGTAATTTGGAGCGGTTTGAGATTAAAAAGTAGCATTAGATGTTAACATTAGAGATTCCTGCACTGCAACAAAGACAGCACTACTAGATTAGCTTCTATATACATTTATATAGATCAAGGCTTAGAGTTGATCTACTAAGCAGCTTAACTCCATTCAAAATTCTATATTCCTGCCAAATAACATCTGTAATCAGATTTCCAGTAATGAAAGCTCAAGGAAGTGATTATAATAGTCCCTATTGCAAGCAGAAATGTCTGCTTAGGAACTTTCTGCAACCATCACTCCCTAGTGGGTTACTAGGGAAGTCCAACAAAGTAATTAACTTTCAGGTTCCAAACAGTAATTTGAACAATAAAGGAAGAAAATCATTCCCCCTAAGGTTTACTGTTAATATTTACTTCGTATCCATGGCCAAACTGCCAACGATATACTGGTACTCGCGAATATACAGCCTTCGCGAATAGATATACTGGTACATCTCAAAAATACTCTAACTTGCTGTTTGCTAGCGACATAAAACCATGATTAGACACTCTTGCAATCTTGCCCAAATTATTCAGAATTAGAGGTTTGTATTCAATAGTGATGTGAACAGAATCGAGCTCCCATAACCGATACTTCTCTCTTTCCCACTCCCAATCTCTCTCTGCAGTAAGTGCACTCCCTCCCTGAAGAAAAAAAAAACTCCTCAGAGGAATGGGTGGGGCTACTGAATAATGTAAGTTATATTATAATACACTACTGTAGAAAGGGAGAAACTGCCAGAACTAAAGAGGTTTATATCTACACCAATATATTTTTACTTCCTCCTCCTACCCAACCTCTGGAGAAGGGATTGAGAGAGACAAGGACCACAAAGGTGAGGAAAGGATGAAAAGGATTGGATAAATAGGCTGCCTTACATATATGCAAGCACCGGAACTGAACCCCAGAAGAAAGGTTAATCCCAAAATAGATTTCAAAATCATATTACTGACTATTGCACTATATTCTTCATAACCAGTTTAAGATGCTCCTTATGGTATCTTCCATATACTAGTCTTTAGACCTTGAAGTGATCATTAGCTTCTCCCCAAGGTCAGACAGCCCTTCTTTGTAAGGAAACCAGTAGGCGTGGAGTCAGAACTTTTTAATTGTGATGCTACGTTTATAAAGCACTATCAATCCCAATCATGGTTTATAATTTGATATGGCACCCAAGTTCCTCCTGCTTACTCAGGACCATACCTAGGTTCTGGACTAAACTACCTTAAATAGCACTGAGTATCTGAATTCTGGAATATACCACTACTGCTTTTCTAGTGTTTTCTATTGGGACAGTTATGTTCTATTGTTCTTGAAGACCAGTTAGCACTGCCTCAAGTACTGATACAAAAAGAAAATTTAATATAACTTAAAACTTAATTCTTGCTTGTCTATATACATACCAGGTTTCCCACCAAAAGCACGTGGTTGAAGTAGGGAGTCATTGGATAATGTTCCATGGCCATAAACAGGGTATTCAGAACAATGCAGATGGTAATAGCAAGATCAACAAATGGATCCATCACTATCAAATTCACTGCGTGTTTTACTTTAAGCCAAGGGCTCCAGCAATCCCAGATCAAGAACGTATTTGCAAATCTATACCAGCATGGTGGACATTTCTGTCTGGATTCTTCAAGTTCTGGAGAAAAATAAAAATAAGGTTTTACGTGGACTATCTTGGTTAAAATTACAGAAAGATTTGTAAAAAATCAAATACAGTTATTTGTTAAGTCATGGAGGAGAGTTTCTCCATGTATGCACAATATTTAAAAGGTAAAAACCGCATGCATAACTCCCATTACTGTTCAGTATGCTTTTCTATCCCCACGGGTTCTCCTCATTTTACAAGATCTTCTGTTATGCTTGCTATATGTAGGTTTTCTACCTGATTCCTATTTAGCCAACCCGAAATATTTTGATCATCACCTATTGGGACAATTCAACCTGAACCAAGTGCTTCCTAGCTCCTGCCAGAAATCCCTAAACCCTGGTTCAAAAGTTGGTCTGTCACCTTTTTTACGTTCAACCTCACAGTCTGGTTTCTGTTTTGGTTCAAATGAAAGCTGTGCCTTTTGCCCAAGTTACCCCAAAACATTGCTGAGTGCCTGACAAGTCTAAAGCCCTATTCTCTGCACCCACAGGAAGCCCACACATCAATATTTCTCTGTTTTCTCTGCCTGGTTGATATAGCAAAAACAAAAAACAAAACAAACCCAACAACCTACTTTGATATTCCTGAATCTGAACTTGGCTTCTAGAACATTCACCTATTTTGATATTCCCGGCTGTCAGTCTCCTACGTAGGAATCTGAACTTGGCTTCTAGAACATTCACATCTACGGTCCCAATATGCACCACAGCCACTGTTTCCACACAGCATTACTTAGCAGCCTAGCTAGATGATGTGCGACATTCACAACTTTCCTACAGGCAATTCCCCATGCAATCTATACACCCACCGCACACACCCAGTGGCCCAATGTCTCTAATCATCAGCTCTCCTGCTAATAAAAAGAGTAGCCACCAAGCGCCATCTTTCTTGACAGGCTGTCCTCTGATATTTGACTTATTCCTATATGAGCAGTCTAATATTCTCCTTCGTCAGTCACTGCTGCCTGACATTTCAAGGGATTAGCCTTTGGATGACATACAAGCTCAGGTATGTGGACAAGTTAATTGCTTCCCACAAGGGAAGGCACTGGCAGACTCTTCTTCCTCCATTGCATTGCAAATGCTCCTTCCTCAGGAGAGCCAGGAATGCTACCATTTCTGGTGGAAGACCATCTACGTGAAAACCAACTTGGCAGCTGCCTGATAGGGATGGAAGGACAGGGGAGGTAAATTAGGCATTTTTTTTTAAAAAAAGAAGTTTTCAGTCATCTGTATCTGGAGACTTGATGCAAGGAAATTAAAACAATTTGTGAAATGAAAATGCTCGTATGACTGCTGAAGGCTTCAGCCCTAAAAACACTCACTTTCCACTGAAATTAAAATGGCCGTGGTTTTTTCCCTTTGAGTACAGTACAGTAAAAGCGCAGTAGGTGGTCAAGCATGTTGCACCGTACCTTCCATTGTGTTTGTGAGTATGCTGGCTATACTCATGGCTCTTTGTCTCGCTGCAGATTCTTCCATCAGTTCCATAGAAATCTGGTAAGAGCTTAATCTTCTTTTCCTTATTTCCGTCTCTGTAGTGGTACCCTAAAATGAACACCATCGTTAGTATTTCTTGGAACTCATGCTGCAAGCGCTACAAGGAGCCCTTGCAAGAAAATCCTGCAGTCTGCCCTGCTCCTGTTCCAGTTTCCAGCCAACGCCCTTTCCCTCTCCCCGATCCCACGGAGAACACACTTGTTCCTCACTGGACTGTTGGGTTTTTTTCCCCCCACCTATAAGCTTTTGCTCCGAACTGTGTTTGAACTGCCACAAACCTTGGGGTGCCCCCAAGACAGCTGACGCCACTCGCTTCTGTAGGACACTGCCCAATTGGTTAGAGAAGGATCGGCATTCAGAGAATGGATCTGCTGTTACATCCGCAAGGATTTTCCAGGGATTTGTTAATTTCTTTTATGGTGAGTCAATGCTTTTGAAAGGCCCAGGCAGTCTGAAAACGGCTTGCCATGCAGAGTGGGTGGATGCTTTTCAACACACACTTTGGGCACACAAAGCAAACTGCTTGACTTTGGGGGGTTGGGGGAATGAACAAGTTCAGCTGGAGAAAAATATGAGTAAAAGCCCTTTGAAAGCAAGTAAATCTTCAAGAACGAAGAGTCGGGTCCAAAGACTGAGGGCCATTTCACATGTTCTGGTTGTCACATAGTGTGCTCTCCCCAGGAAGCTGCAAGCAACAGATTTTCCTGCATTCGCATTTGAAAACCACCTAAAGGGCAACCTAAAAATGTCAGAGTTTCAGGACACGGCTCTGATAGAAATATGCTTCTCTATATTAAGCATTTAAACTTCAACATAGGAGACGCTAAACCTCGAACAGCTATTTTCAAAGGAAGATGAATTTTGTGGAGTACTTTGAAGACACAAAGGGATGGAAGTTGTTACCATCAGCGGAGCAATGGAAGCAAAAATATGGCCCTGTATAGTTATAAATAAAATATCTAGTTGTAAGAGATCGTCATTGGGATTCTGTGTATATTTTAAGGGGGAAATTGTCTTTCTTAATTATCGGAGTATACACTGATCAGAGGAGGATAGGATTTATTGTCCTTGAAATCAATCTATCATTTTTGTAAATATGCTGTGAAATGAAAGCATTCATTTATAATTTTTTAAAAAAGAAAAGAAAAGGAATTTGTCTCTCACAAGGGCTTTTAGCACAATTTTACAGTGTTAGCCGTTGTTATTTGGTTAATGACAGGTAACTGCAGTATGTTAAATCTTCTAGTCTTAATTTTATTTTACGAGCTCATTACAATTGTTTGTTTTGCATTATAAATCACATTAAGAGCCTCATCAAATGGATTATACATAGAATTAAATGAGGCGAATTGATATGGCAGTTAGGAAGCTTAACAGCAGGTTGGACGGCATGAGAGTGGAGCCAAGAGAGTGTCCACGATGTTGCAATATTTATTATATTTGCACAACCCTAATTTAAATATTACTTTTCCATAGTGCTTTATCAGCAATGCTTAAGGAAGTGTGCATATGCTGGTTAATAAAACAGCACAGAGAAACTATCCAAAAGTGATCATGCATATCATGACAAAGTTGTCTCTTTTGTGGTCCTTCATCAGTAATTGTTATCATATGTGTCCCTCACTAGAAACAATCTGGGAAAACAGGACAGAGACAGTTGGTACTCATATAAGCACAGCTTCTCCCCACACAGGCTACTCTGTCTCTTTCTCCCCAGAGTTATTTCATCCTACATGCCAGACCTTCCCTCAAGATACTCCGCCCTCAGGAGAAGAGGACGAGAGGGCTGTAGAAGTGTAGAGGGGTGAGGAATTCTGCCTTGGTGAGTCTCCTTACAAGAGCCTCGCCTACACAACACATCACAAAGAGTCACAGACACTCGTGTCAAACTAAATCAAAGATGATAAAGTGAAAGAGTGATTTTTTTTTTGGTCACCTCTGGGAGAAGCTGTCCAGTAGGAGAAGGGAGTGCTGCAGGACCTCCCACCAAGGAAACCACGCCATTGCAATCCACACTACTGTGCATTTTCCCATTTGCTGGAAGAGGTGGCACCATCTTTGACGACAGGCTTGCTTGGCTGGTGTTACTGTTGCGGCGCTCGCTGTTGTGTCTGTTTGGCACAAAGAGAGAATCTCTTCTGCTCTCATTGTCTTCCAGAGTGCTGTGCTCATCATCAGCAAAATCATTTTCTGATCCTACGTCTTTGGCTCTCCCTCTGAAGCTGAAAACACTTGCTCTGCTGTTGCGCCTTGGGGAAAACAGAGAGCCACGAAGACTTAGCAAAGACTGTAAGAGGGGGAGAAAAACAAACAAAGCAAGAAGTTAAGTATTTAGAATGAGAGAATTCATCAATGGCTCTAATTTGAAAAAAAAATCATGCTTTTACAGGAAGTACTATTGATACAAGAAAGGATGCCTTTGCCTACCCATACCAATTTAATCCATTAGACAGTCTGAGTTGTAAATCCTGTAGGATTGACTGCCACAAACCTGTGATACCTAGAAATGTATTAGCAGCACACCCTCCTGGTTTATTTCATAGACTCATGCCCTCTTTGGCTTGGAAGGGGCCACAGTTCATTGACCGAGCACATCATTTGCAGACATAAAGTTCGAGATTCAATTCCTGGCATTTGGGTATCAGGAGGTGATATCCTTGGGTCCTTTTAAGGAGAAAGGCGAGGTAAAAATATTTTAAATAAATAAATCAATCCTCCTAACAACCCCAAGACTGAGACGTACTACTGTATGTCACGGCTGATGATGCTGGACCTCTGTGAGACCTCCTCTAGGCTAAAACACTTCCTATCATCACAGTCTCCTCAACAATCTCCACTGGGAAAGGAAGGCCAGGTATACATTGATGGAATAAATATTATTAATCTTCTTGTTCCTCCTTTCAGTCTCCATACAGATTGTTACAATGCAGAATGATCTGCTGCCCTTTGCTCCATCATTCAAGACAACATTAGTAGGTAATAAATCGTATTTCACAAAATTTCCTCAGCTACTGACTAATCCACGCTTGTGAGCAGATATATCCTAATGTAAAAGAAGCCAACATTAACTAACCACTTGTTGCTTTTACTTATGGAGGGAAGCCTAAAGGCTAGCTACATTTAATTAGAGCTCTGCTATTAATTCACCATTTATTAATCATACCGGCTCATCAATTAATGCCTTCAGCAATGTTCACCAACCACAGGAGGCTTGAAGATGGTTATTCTGGCATGGAAAGCAAGCAGATTCAATTTTTGCTGGTCGTTCTTTCATGTAATTGCCCTAATAGAAACTCTTAATGGAATTTTTTGCTCCCCCTTCACATATTTTATTAGCAGTACTCATGAATAAATAAAGCCATCACTGGTGCTGGGGAAAAACAATTCTTACATTGAGATTTATAACTCCTGTCTAAGAATTCAATTTCAGGCTTGGACACTTTAAACTTCAGTGCTCCCTGCCGAAGTCTGACCTGATTCCTGTTCATTCAATGGAATAATCACGAAATATATGGTTTTAAAACTGTCTCAAGGAGTGGACTTGTCCACAAAAGCTCACATTAAAACATAGCAGTTAGTCTTTAAGGTGCCACCATGTTTTTGTTTTTTTGTTTTGTTTTGTTTTTGACTGACATGATTTTAAAAATATAGCTTAACAATTTTACTTTCATGTATAGGTCAATATATAGCATTTGTATTCAACTATGAGCACTGCTTGAGGGGAAAGTCAAGACATCAATTGCCGATGCAAGTAAACAATAGTCCATGAAAGAGACAGAATTTTGTTCTAGTTGCCCCTGTAACAAATTCTGACATAATTTGCTTGATATCGATCTTCTAGACCAGTGGTTCTTAACCTTTGTTACTCAGATGCTTTTGAACTGCAACTCCCAGAAACCCAGTCAGGACAGCTGGTGGTGAAGGCTTCTGGGAGTTGCAGTCCAAAACTCTTGAGTAACCCAAGGTTAAGAACCAGTGTTCTAGACTTTCCCACTCATTACAAAAGACACTGCACTTATCTAATTTATGTTAACTTTACGGGTTTTTTAAAAAAACCCCACTTCAACTGAATTTGGAACAATTAAAGAGTAAAGACCATTTTAACCACGGCAGCACATATCATACGGCTGGTGTTTTACACACATAAAGGTAAAGGTAAAGGTTCCCCTTGACAATTTGTCCAGTCATGTCCAACTCTAGGCGGTGATGCTCGTCTCAGTTTCCAACCCATAGAGCTAGCGTTTGTCTGAAGACAATCTTCCATAGTCACATGGCCAATGCTACTAGACACGGAACACCGTTACCTTCCCACCGCGGTGGTACCTATTTATCTACTCACATTTTGCATGCTTTCGAACCGCTAGGTTGGTGGGAGCTGGGACAATACAACCCACATTTTCATGTAAATGATAATCTAGCCAAAATCTTATCCTTGAAGGCTTTCAGGACCAGGATCTCATGGTTGTTGTAGGTTTTTCGGGCTGTCTGGCCGTATTCTTGAGGTTTTTCTTCCTAACATTTCGCCAGTCTCTGTGGCCAGCATTTTCAGAGGACAGGAGTCACCAGAGCACAGACAGCGGACAATACAAACCACATTTTCATGTAAATGATAATCTAGCCAAAATCTTATCCTTGAAGGCTTTCAGGACCAGGATCTCATGGTTGTTGTAGGTTTTTCGGGCTGTCTGGCCGTATTCTTGAGGTTTTTCTTCCTAACATTTCGCCAGTCTCTGTGGCCAGCATTTTCAGAGGACAGGAGTCACCAGAGCACAGACAGAGTTCTGATTCCTGTCCTCTGAAGATGCCGGCCTCTGAGACTGGCGAAACGTTAGGAAGAAAAACCTCAAAAATATGGCCAGACAGCCCGAAAAAACTACATCAACCAAAATCTTATCACTGAAAACTGTATGCTTTAAGGGCAATCATGTCTCTGTGGCCAGCATTTTCAGAGGACAGGAGTCACCAGAGCACAGACAGAGTTCTGATTCCTGTCCTCTGAAGATGCCGGCCTCTGAGACTGGCGAAACGTTAGGAAGAAAAACCTCAAAAATATGGCCAGACAGCCCGAAAAAACTACATCAACCAAAATCTTATCACTGAAAACTGTATGCTTTAAGGGCAATCATACAAATGGTTTAGCCTGAAAAAACTACATCAACCAAAATCTTATTATTGAAAACTGTATGCTTTAAGGGCAATCATACAAATGGTTTTTGCATTTTGTGGCTGTGGGCTGTGCAACCAGAGGAGACTCGGTGTATAATGGACAGATAAATAATTAAAATAAATATTTTGCTATTTGTTTTATTTAAATGCCATCTTTCTTTCGACAAGGGGACCCAAGGCATCACACAGAATTAAAAATAAGAAAATTAGGTGCATAATAAAGGTATATGAGCCTTTAACCAGCTGGGGATCACCGTCCAACTCCACCCTTACCCAGACAAGAGCTTCCTCAAGACATTGGTGCAAGCATTGGTCATCTCCCACATCAACTACTCTAATGCCTGAGTCCCTTGAGACTGACTCGGAGACTACAGCAGATCTAGAACATGGTGGCCAGACTGGTGGCTGGTGTGAGCAAATCTGACCACATCACTCCAGGTTAGCTGTTGAGTCCTGGATCAGGTTCAAGGTTTTGACACTCATGTACAAAGCCTTCCATGGTCTGCGACCACGTTACTTGTCAGGGCATCTTTCCGCAATGTCATCTGCCTGACCCACCAGATCTTCCCAGGCTAGGCTCCTCTATGTAGCCACTCCAAGGGAGACCTGACAGTCTTCTACAAGAGGCACGGCTTTCTCTGTGGTGGCACCAACCTTATGGAATGAGCTCCCAGAGGAGTTATGCATGGCTCCCTTCCTGATGTCATTCAGAAGACAACTCAAAACATTCCTTTTCAGGGAGAACAGTGCTTCTGCACTAATAGGGCAGTATATAAAATTAAAGAAATAAATAAAATAAATATAAATTAAAAACAGTTCAACTATAAAACTGATTAAAAATAATTAAATAATTAAAAACAGGCAAAACATTAAACGCTACTTCCCTTAATAACGCCTACCACTGCTTGTGCAATTGCCCTTATTTGATGACAAAAGCAACAAAATCCTGGGCTTTTTCTCCCAGATTTTACACCACTAACTATAATTTACAGTGGTGTGCTGCTTAACGATTACCTCGTTAAATGATGAATCTGCTTTACGATGGGTTTTTTGCAATTGCTATTGTGATCGCAAAACGATGTTCTTATGTGCTTTTTTCACTTGACGATGATCGTTTCCCTGCTTCGGGATTTTTCACTTAACGACGATCAGAAAACAGCTGATCGTCGGGTTTCAAAATGGCTCCCTGCTGTGCAAAACGGCCCTCCGCTGTGTTAGGGATGGATTTGTCGCATTACAGGCACCAGAAAATGGCCGCCCTATGGAGGATCTTCGCTGGACAATGAGGTATTTCACCCATTAGAACGCATTAACCTGTTTCTAATGCATTCTAATGGGTTTTTTAATTTCGCTTGACGACAATTTCGCTTAACAGCGATTTGAACGGAACGGATTATCGTTGTCAAGCGAGGCAACACTGTATTCCAGAAAGTGACTGCTTATGAGTTAAGCCATTGTTGTATTCTGGTTCACTGAGATAAAACTGCCAAGCCTTTTGTCTAGAATGAGTACTGTTTTGCTGCTAGAAAGTCTTTCCATAATTCTAATTTTCTCTTTCTGTTTCTACTTTTTATCACTTACTCTGTTTTAGACATTATTGTTTTTAATTATTGCATAATGTCATGGGAACCCATTTAGGCTAAAAAGTGAAGAAGAAAAACAGAATCGGCAATATGAAGGAAGGAAGGCAGGAAATCTCCACATGCAACAAAAAGTACACTTAGGAAAGGGAAGAAAAACACATTTTGAAAATAAATTATTCCAAAAGGCAGACTAGAAATACTTATGCAAGTAAGAAGTACAGTGAGCAATAATATCATAAATCCACATACACTACATGATTCTCTCTAAAACTCCCCCTCTTTAATAGCAGCCATAGCTCAATGGGTAGAAAGCATGTTTTGAATACAGAAGAGAGATGTTGCCAATTGGTATCAACAATATTGGGTCAATGATCTGACTCCATTTAAGGCAGTTTCCTATGTTCTTTTGCTTTGAGTACACTAGCAGAAACTGATACCTCTATTTTCATTAAAAACATATTCGTATTGGGAGAATCAGAAGCATATAACTCTTTCATGTAAACATGGCATTGCATTCATAAGTGGGAGAGCGGGCAGCACTCCCATAATGGAGTCACTGTTTGAAGTGGAAAAAGCTTTGACTCCACCAAACAATTGTTCCCAAACAACAATGGGAAAGTAAGAACATACACTTTGGGGCATCAAGGACTCAGCAGACATCGTGTCCTTAAGTGACGCCAGCATCTGCAGACTTTGATCTCTCTCTGCTGTGTCACAGACTAAACTGTCCCACAGAATTGAGTAAGAGCCACTTCAGATGAAGTCAGTCCTTGCTTGCATATCCTAAGTTACCTAAAAAATGCCTCCCTGCCGATTTTCAAAAGGACAGACCTCTGCAGACTTTTTCTAGAAAGAAGTTCACTAAGGAGCTCTACAACAAAAAGGACTCCGTTCCATTCCTTGCAAAAAAGACTCCCTATTCTTAGTAACATAAAATCATACTCTTAGCAACCAAAAATATGCATGAAATGCCAGCTCTGAAACTGGGATCACACCCTGTGAATTTGTGTGGGAGTGTACCTGGTGAGTCGAAGTCCTCTGGTCATATGACAACCGCGCTCCCCTTCTGATGCTGTCCTCCGATTCAGATTTAGGGAACGTGTCCACTTCTCTCCTCTCCTCTGCTTCTGCCAGCTCCTTCTGCCGTCTTTTCTTCCTTCTGTTTCTTCTTTCTTTAGCACTCTTCGTGCTTAATTTAGATGCCTCTGAAGAACTCTCTAAGAGCTCCCCCAGTCCACCCACGCCGCTGAAATCTCTTGACGCCACCGAGGCTGCTGCCACAGCTGCTGTTGTCTGTTGTGTTACCGTGCCAGGTAATTAGAATTAGTAGGATTACTTCATTCATCACAGTTGCAGACAAATGCACTATTACATCCAAAGGTTCTTACATAAAGCAATTAAGCAATTAAACACTATACTGGCAATAGTCAGTGCTTCCTTGTGTGAACTGGAACAAAAGGGGGAGGGCAGCTCTGCAACATCACAGCCATATTTAGCTTTACTTGAAGACTTTAATGAAGCTGCCAACAACATCTGCCCATGCTTGGAACCTACCTTCTCCTTTTCCCCCTGTATTCTCCCTGACTGAGAGACCAGCAACCAGAGTCAATCTGAGAAGCCTACACAGAGCGTTTCTGCAATATTCTTGCCAATTTCAACCCAATATGTAAGAATCCCTCGGTCAATGTGGGGATAGGGCAAGAACTTTGCCTCTTCTGATTTGTTCTCTTGAAGGCCTCATATCTTATAGTAGAGCAACATTCAGGGAGGTAGAAAGAGAAGCCCAAGTTCATATCCCCATTTGACAATGGGATGATCCTGTTCTAGTCACTGGCTCTCAAGGCAATGTACCTCACAGGGTTGCTGTAAGGATAACACTTGAGAGGAGGGCCTTGTATGGCACTATGAAAGAAAGAAATATGTATCAAATACATATATATCATTGCCTACTTAATAAAACAGCTCCTGAGTGTGTAGGAAGGAAGCAAAACCATGCCCACTTGGTCCTGCCTCCTAGTGATGTGCCAATCCTGACTCTATATTCATGAAGAGGAATGCCACGATCATGCTAGAATTCAACATTCCCTTTGGGGGCGGGGAGGAAAGACCTCATGGAGGTCTTTCTCTTGTGAACATCACTCACTGGCTTGCTCTCCACAATGCCCACAGAAAAAGTGCAGGTAAAAGACCTGGCAGCACCATTTTTTTTCTCCTCAGTCTCATCACTTCCTCTTGGTGTTGTTCTTCACTCAGAGAAACTGAGACATGTCATGAGAAAATCAAAGAAAGTGTTATTTATGCCACTGGGTTTTAGCACATGTACAAACACATTTTCCTAAATAAAACTACCTGAGCTTCTTCTTGCTGTTTTTTCAGCTGCTCCAGCATCTGCTGAAACTCAGCCTCTTTCTGCTCAGCTTCTTCCATGGTGGCTTGATTCTGTTCTTCGTAGGCCATGGCAACAACGGCCAAGATCAAGTTGATCAGGTAGAAGGAGCCCAGGAAAATCACCAGAACAAAAAAGATCATGTACGTTTTGCCAGCAGCACGCAGAGTCTAGGTGAGGTGGGGAGAAACAAAAGAGGCGTTATTATTTTGATGTTTACCAATAACTGATATTAAAACCTTCCTTATTCACCATCTTAAAAAAAATAAAATGATACATCAGATCACGACTACATGAATAATGAACACATTAATAATTATTTGGTTAAAGTTTCTAGTTAATTGGAAAACAGGTAAGCTGCCAAAACAATGCCTCTATTTTAGTGTCATCAATAACTGATAATAAAACGTTCTTTATTCACCATCTTAAAAAAATAAAATGATACATCAGGTCACGACTACATGAATAATGAACACCTTAATAATTATTCGTTTAAATGTTCTAGTTAATTGGAAAACAGGTAAGGTGCCAAAACAATGCCTCTATTTTAGTGTCACACATTCAACGCTTGCTTCATGACGACTCTCACCAATTGATAGAGATTTTCCCAGTAGTCCTGAGTCATGAGGCGAAAGAGTGACAAGAAGGCCCAGCTGAACGTATCAAAACTTGTATAGCCATAGTTGGGGTTTCTGCCAGCTTTTACACATGTATATCCTTCTGGACATTGGCTATGAAAAAGTAAATCACATCAGACATGAATTAGCATCTCTATCACTTGTATTTTGTGCTATTTTCAAAATTCTAATTCCACACTAATGTGATGTGATGTTGTTGACCCCTGATCCCACTCATGGAGGTGCCGAGCAAAATTAATGATTTGTTTATAATGAAGATAAGTACTATTTTGTTTTTGTTTTTTCCACCTCCATGCTGTTTTCTCATATGAAATTAGCAGAGTAGGCTCTGGTCTAAACACCTTTAGACCTGATGACTTGAAGTAGCGTTAAGACAGGGTCACTTATGACAAGTATGGTCTTCAGCTATCATAGTGATTCAAATGGAAAAAAATCACTACCACCCCAAAAAAACATAGATTTTTCACCCCCAAATGCAACACAGAACAGTAGAAGCGTGACAAGAATATTTTATGGTTTTTCCTTTTTTCCTATACTGCCAAAAAACATTTCACTTCATCTTTTAGTGTAGGCTTACATCTCATTGTTTTCAATAAGAGTGACTGATTTGGTCTAGTTAGTTCTAAAAGGAAGATACTTGCCGATGTGGCTGTAAGGTTTAGTTTGCCTTCAATCTTCTCTGAGGCACCTGATTGAGAAGTCACATTATCTAAACCTGCTAAAACTAGTTCAGTGATACTCATTCATCTAATCAGAGAAATGTACAGTGGTGCCTCACATTACAACATTAATTTGTTCCAGCGAAATCGCTGTAGAACGAAAATGTCATAAAGCGAAAAAAAAAAAGCCATTGAAACGCATTAAAACCTGGTTAATGTGTTCCAATCGGCTAAGAACCCACCGTTCAGCGAAGATCCTCCATAGGGGTGGCCATTTTCGGGTGCCTGTGCAGCGAAAAATGGCTCCTAAACCCAGCGGGGAGCCATTTTGAGCACCTGGCGGCCATTTTGAAAACCCGATGATCAGCTGTTTTGATTGTTGGGAAGCGAAAATCGGTTCCCAAAAGAGGGAACCGATCATTGCGCAGTGAAATTCCCCCATTCAAAACGTCGTTTTGCGATCGCTTTTGCGATCACAAAAACCTTGTCGTTATGCAGATTCGTCATTAAACGGAGCGCCCGTCTTGCGAGGCACCACTGTATACTTCTCTCTGCAGAGGACAACCAACAATGAATCTTCAGGAAGATTTATAGAGGAGTGTATGTCATTTCATTGCATTACATCTGTTATGGTGAGAATTATCCTTTTTTTAATGCAACAGACAACTATAGCCACATTCCTTAAATAATAAAAAGATACTCAGGTTTACTTGTGGGACTGAATATCTATGCAGTAATTAGACACAAAGCAAGTATCTGTTAGAGCAGGGGTCCCCAACCCCCGTTCCGTGGCCTTGCCAGGACTGGGCCGAGAAAAAAATCTCCTGACCCCCTATGTGCAGATGCATGTACACCCCGCCCACGTGCCCCCTCCCACACACTCATGCCCCCTCCGACGCCTGAACAGACTCCTCTCCCTGCATGCTATACCGGTCTGTGAAGGCAAAAAGGTTGGGGACCACTGGTTAGAGGTTAAACTCATTTCTAACAAACTCTTGAACAAACAGACTAAAATTTTGTAGAAGTATGCTTATACTGTACAACGGGATTGCATTGGTGGCTTTTGTTAACCCTTCCTGTCTGCTGTTCTGTATTCTTAATTCCAAGTAATCTGCTCGCCCTATTTTAGTTCAAAAATAGAATATATGTAAATAGCTTTTCGGTTGGGCACTGACCATCACTTATTCCTGACAAAACTTTGTACAAGCATTTTTTTAAAAAGCCCAAGTGTGCACTGTGGGTTTTTTTTTTTTTTTGGTTAATTAATTGAGGAACTGAAACAAAATTAAGAAATACCCAATTCATGTAGCCTAAAAACAATACTCTAGATAGACTGCATCCAAAGTGATCCTGCCAGGAGTGGAAAGCATGTATTTTCGTGTGTGTGTATCTCTGTGTAAGAAAGAGCATGTGTGTGCACAACCTCCTCTGATTTCTTCTCAGGGCCTATCTCCCCATGTCACACATTTTTGTCCTCAAGGGTTTTTGAACTCTCAGTTGATTGGAGGGGGGGAAGCAAGAGGAGAGGGTGGGAGAGTTTGTTTTGTAAGTGAAACAGTCTGAAACACAGAACAGCATACCTATAATAATACAGAGATTGTTGAAACAGACAATACTAAATAGTGGTCCATCCTTTTTTTTCCAAATATGATGCTGTAGAAAGTCACCTCCAGAATCAACCAATGGCCTTTGAATTCCTTCAGGTTCAAATATCAGAGAGATTTGACATAGTAAGACCGATTTTGTCTCTGCAGCAGAGTATAACTGCCACTGTCTTTGCACTGTTTTCTGTTGGAAAAACTCTTGTACTTATTGCCAAACTATTTCATTTAGTATCGTTCTTGATGTGTTTCAAAAGACACTACAGTCTGGTTTAGGCTTAACCTAAATATTTTAGGTGTGGCCTGACTCTTCAGCATCTAATTTTGAATTTCTAAAACACAAAGCATTTTTGTTGTCCATCACCACTTTTGTAGTCATTCTAAACATCACTCTTGGTCACTGAATCACCACACAATTTCTTTAACAGGTTCATTTTTATTTCAATTCGAAACATTTAGCTTTTGCCATTTTAAATTTTGAAAAACAAATATTTTTAAACACTTCTAACTCAAATTTCACCAAAATACTTCTAGGCCCGTTTTTATTATTTTTTTAATACCCTCTCAGAAATAAGAACCAATTATGCTCTAACAAACATGGTTTTTTTTAATTTTTATTTTGGGGAGTTACTTTGGAAAAGTACCATTGTTAAAGTACCACCGTTAGAGTAACTGCTGTCACTTTTCATATTTCCATTTGCTTTTAGCCCAGCATTTGTACGCTAATCCACCAATTGAGACAACACTCCATGCAATAGCTGAAGTGAACTGCGGTCCACAAAAATGTACATTAAATAAATCCTTTTTGACTTTAAAGTGCCCTTGTGCTTTTAGTTCTTCTAGAGAACATGGAGTCCGCTCTCATATTGTTTATGTAGAAGTCCTGTAATGACAACTTCATGCAGAGGGATTTCTGCATGAAGCTGAGATAGAGTGTTTGGTGGAAACGCTGTACTGTATACTCTTGAACATACTGATCTCATCTCACTCTGGATATTAGGGTCATAGTACCTGGATGCGACACTCCCAATTAATATTAGGAATCTCCAGACCGGGTTGGAAAAACTCCTGTCCAAAGCCCTGAAGAACTGTGGCCACTCCTAAGTGGGTCATAATGCGCTAACTGGACCAAGAGTATGATTTCCATATAAAAAGTAGCTTCCTTTGTTGCTATGATGTTCTGGATCACAGCTTTAGTCTTTTCTAATTTTAATTGCATTTTAGAAAAAATTATAGCATGTTAACTGAGTATTTTTTAAAGTTTTTACTTTTTACAAAATTAAAACTAAAATATGAATTCAATAGTGACTACACACAATGCACATTGAACTTTCCCCACCGGTGCCACCTTCACCTTGGGACTAGGTGACCAATAATATCGGTTTATACCCCTTTTCACCCATACGTCTCCAAAACTCCATTGATTCTTTTGCTGGAATATAACCTTTTCCCTTCGAAAAAACATACTCGAAACTCCATACATCTTTGAAATCATTAAGACATTACCAGTCCTCTTCTTATTTTCATTTCACATGTTAACTTACTGTATCATTAATTGCTAAGCTCCCCATTTGCAATACCAATCTTCAAGATTAGTTTATTTGTGGCTTTTCCAATTCTTTGCAAATATTAGTCTTGCTACTGTAACCATTATAACAACTTTCTGATCTTTTTTAGTTGGTCATTCTTAATTATGTTCAGGAGGGCAATAATTGGTGATATCTGAATATTGTATCCAATAATTTTTCTAATTTCCTTAAAAACCAGTGCCCATTCTTTCTTTCTTATTTCACATGTTCACCACATATGCATATAGGTCCATTTTTTCTTTTTTGCATTTCCAGCACTGAAATAGTATATTTTTATTTATTCTATTCAGTCTTACCAGAGTAAAGCAATAGAGTATTTAAAAAAATTCTTACCCAGCATCCGAGCTGTTACCACAAAGAAGGGCATCTCTTTGTCCTTCCAAAACATAAAAATTACCTGGGAGGGGAAACAATAAGTAACTATTTTTCTGTAGTTTCTGATACTAAACACAGACCTATCAACAAGGGTGAAGGATTACATTTCCAAAAATCACATAGATATTACAAGTTTTGTTTTGTTCTTTAAAAGTGCATAGCTACAAATGAATTTGTCTGACTCCCTCAATGACCAGAGGTTCTTTATTAATTGAGGGTAGCATATTAATTAGCATTGTCACACAATTAAAGATGTCTTAGATGGCAATCCTATGCCCAGTTTTCTGGAAGTAACTGAAACAAAATGGGGAGTTACTTTTGAGCAGACATGTAGAGCACTGTACCATTAATTAATTCATCACAAGTGTTCGTTAGCTATGAATAGAAGCAACACTTCTAAAAAAAGGGTGGCGGTTGTAGTTTTTAGATGTAGTATCCAGATGAAAGTAGTCACCACCTTAGAGTGCATTTGTTTTCTATGGTTTTTATAAAAACTTGAATTTAAGAAACAGTTCACATTTTAAAAAAGAAATTGTCTGCCTGATTAACTGAAGGGAATTAAAAGACATTTAACCAGGTATGCTACGGCTGCAATCCTTTGCCCACCTACCTTGCAGTAAGCTTCAATGATTTCAGTGAGACTCCATAGACATTCACAGTAATAAACTATAATCAATTACTTCACTAAGAACTGCATCCCACATTTAATTTGTTTGGGGTTTTTTTCACAAAATATTTTATTTAACACAACTAAATCTTAACATTTTTTTAAAATCAAATTCTCTTTCAAACCTTGGTTGTACCCAACATCACAAGGCTTGGTAAAAGGTAAAGGTTCCCCTTGACAATTTTTGTCCAGTCGTGTTCGACTCTAGGGGCAGTGCTCATCCCCGTTTCCAAGCCGTAGAGTGAGCATTTGTCCGAAGACAATCTTCTGGTCACATGGCCAGTGCGACTTAGGCACGGAACGCTGTTACCTTCCCACCAAGGTGGTCCCTATTTATCTACTTGCATTTGCATGCTTTCGAACCGCTAGGTTGGCGGGAGCTGGGACAAAGCAACAGGAGCTCACTCCGTCGCGTGGATTCGATCTTACAGCTGAAGATCAAACAGACCTTACAGCACAGAGGCTCCTGCGGTTTAACCTGCCGTGCCACCACATCACAAGGCTTGAGCGCACTACAAATGCTAACTTTTTGGTTAATTGCATATGGTTGCATTCATTTCTTGTCCTTTTGCTTATGACAGAGGAACAAGGAAGAAGAATGTTAGGGGGATGTCCTGCGCTCCCTGGAACACATGCATCACCTCCTACATTACTCTGACCAGTTTTCCCAATCCATCAGATCTTGCAGGGAAAGAAAAAAATGCCCACACACAAAATCTCCTCTCTCCTTGTTGCATAAATAGAAGATTCAGCTGGGCTGTTGTGTGATGCTAACTCAGATGTGCTAGCTGGGGGAGAGGTGCACTATGAACAGAGGGAAATCCTTTCTATTGGCAGAAATTGCCCTTGAGTCAGCAGAATTCTGCCTGCTGATCTCAGAAATCTGCCAGCAGAAAGATCTGACAGCGTTATTGAACTCATGGTTTAGATCTGCAGTAAGAAAGCCAAAAAAAAGGAGAGGGGGAGGGGCAGGGCAAAGGAAGAGCCAAATTAAACCAGATCCAAACCCCCTCCAGCCCACAAGACAATCACTATGCCAGCATAAGGTGGGCCAGGGTGAAAGGAAACCTAATTAATTTCCAACAACTGTAGGACTGGAGGGGTTTAAATTTGAGTAACCCAACAGCCCCAATTAGGATGGTGTTGTTACATGGCCTTTCATCTGCAGATGGGCATCAGATTGGAACAAACCACAATACACATGATTATTTATACAAGTTTAGACCGATGTATCTTACGTGGATCCTCGATGTATTCATCCCAGTTAAAGGTGCTCCCTGTATTGTTAATGAAGGTATCGTTTTCTCCCATTGTGCTGCCGAAATAGGAAGTTATGTTTATTTCAAAGGTAAAATTGGCTGGTGGCCAAATCAGGCACTTATGCCTCAGGTTCCCCATGAAAAGTTGGAGTCCTATTAGTGCAAACACACTCAGGCAAAAAACAGTCAGGATCATGACATCCGAGAGCTTCTTTACAGACTGAATGAGGGCTCCCACTATGGTCTTCAGACCTGCAAGCAGAAAAGGATTGAAAAGTTATATTGAGATGTAACATATTTACCTCCTATTTATAAGCCATGCAGAAACAGCAAACAACATCTTGTTTATGAAAAAGTAAAGCTTCATAAACAGTTCCAGCACTTGTGAAAATGTATGAAGAGCAAAAATTGTCTGTTCATGAAACCATTTATTGTAAAATAAGACATTTTATAACTCATGGATTGCTTGGATGTAACAAAGCATTTGCTTAAAAAGTACCCTGTGCGTACTACTTTTTCTTCCTTTAAAAATGACATTTTCACCACTTACAATCCTTTTTAAAAAAATCATACCCTAAGACAAGAAGCGAGATAATAAGAACTCAGGCATTTTCATTTTTACGTCCATTAATATGCTCCCAAACCATGCCTGTCTTTGTCTTTTTTAAACAATTAAAACAAATTAAAACACAGTTCAAACTGAACCATGCAGAATAATCTTTTGCATGTTTACTTGGAAGTAAATTGCACTGTATTCAATGGGGCTTACTCCCAAAGAACTGTGCTCAACAGTGCAGCCTGAAACAGTGAGTGCTAAAAACAACATGGCATTACAAAAATCATAGAATTAAAGCTTTTGGCATGGAAGAACAAAAACTGCTTCTCATCATTAAATGTAGAGCAACAAAGGAAAGTAATCCCCCGAAATAAAATATAATGCATAGGCTGTGCATTCTGTAGATGTCTCATGCAACCATCTGTTAAACGCAAAGGCTGATTTTGCAAATTAAAATAAATGTTACACTGAAAAGACAAAGGATCTTCTGATTCCCGCCTTTTGGTAACATAAGCCATGATTAATAAGATTCATGCTGGATATAAGCAAACTTTACTTCATTAGAAGTAAGAAGTCAGCCTCCGTGTTTAACCTCGCTCTCACCTGGAATGACTGATATTGTTTTCAATGCCCGGAGAACTCTGAATGTTCTCAACGCTGAGACATTGCCCAGGTCCACAAACTCTGTCACATATCTGTAATAGGGGAGTTCACACACAAACACAATGACAGCACACAAGAAACAGTCGGGAGGTACAAGGGGCCGGCCACTTTGCCAGACCGCGCCACTTCTTACCTGGGATTACAGAAATAGTTTTCAAAGCTCTCAATACTCTGAAAGTTCGAAGAGCTGAAACATTGCCTAGGTTTACAAATTCTGTTACATACCTGTAGAATTAAATCACAGTTACTCAGAATTGAGGCAGAACTTAAGCCACTTTCTTGGTGTCTTTCACAAAGACCACACTGCTGATTTCACCGTTTAAAATTTAAACATTCTATCCAACCTAGATTTAAATTTACTAATTACCATCTGCCGTTGTTTCATTGAACTGAAATGTAAGTTTTGTATTTGGGAAGCTGAGCTAGAATAATTTAATAGAACAGCATGAAGTCAAATGATAGTTTCCATTCTAGTACACACAAAGAATGCAGGACATGGAATTAGTATCTCTAAAATATAAGCAAGCAAGTATATAAAGTAATCCATATATTTTCACATTGTAATGTAAGATAAACTAGAAGTATGTTAATCAAGATTTTACCTGCTGGCAGATTATTTTTTCTTATTTTATGAGTATATGCTTCCTTGTGTGAAAGACACTGACACTAATTTCATGCCCTTATAAGGTTTCCCTCCCCAAATTTTTAAAAAATACTTACGCCATCAAAATAACGCTGAAATCGAGCCAATTCCATGGGTCTCGAAGAAAAGTGAAACCTTCTAAACAAAAGCCCCTTGCAAGAATTTTTATAAGGGATTCAAAGGTATAAATTCCAGTGAACGTGTACCTAAAAAAGTGCAAATAAAAAATTAAACACACCTACTTCTTAGCGGGTCAGTACCACTCTATCCTGTACAGTGAGATCCAGTTCAAGTAAGCCTCACATGACTGATGACATTACCAAATATTTTCACTGGAAGATTTGCTTCTATAAAACACTTTGGCTGGAATGCTACTGGATCAGGGAGGTCATGCACTGAGGGAAGTCATGCACCCTGTTGATTAGCCATAGTAAGTTACACAGTCCCTCTATAAACACCGACAGGATTTCGCCTTTCTGTTTTATGTCATGTGTTCTTCTACAATGGGGTGGCTGCAAGAAAGCATGTCAAGTTACAACTGATTTTCTCTGAGCAAAATAAAACAAAAAATATAACACATCCCCAAAAGCCCTAGTCAGATCCAATTTGGGTTTTCTTTTTCAAAAAAAGGTTTTACACTTTTTAGTTGTGAATCCGATTGATCACCAAATATCCTACCTATATGGGCCTTACAGTGATCAGATATGAACTGTATATTATCCACTGAAAATGCTAGACAGCAGCCAGAGTTGTGCTACATCATGTACTTTATCATGTAGCTGCTACTAAAAACAAGAAGATCACGAGAAATCAGACTCTCAAGTACAGTGGCAGCCAAGTAAGTAAGCCTCTTCTTCACAGACCCCTGCTTCCTACAATAAATTAACCTCCTATTATGAAAATGATACATGTGAAGGAGCCATAAATACTGTAATAAAAAAAATACAAGATCTCTTTCACACATCACAAAGTCAACCTTCTTGAAATCCAGACAATATACCAACATCAAACTCTTTGCGTTTTGGCCTTTGTGTAGTCAAAATAACACCATCCACATTCAAGAGGAGGTATTGGTGGGCCTGAGGGGAGCCCCACAATTTTTTGAAAAAAAGCACGAAAAATCTAAGAGGGGCCACCGTTCCTGCAGCAGTCAGGGATGTCAAAGCAAGCAACAAATGCAGACTGATGGGGTGGATGATGGACTATCTTGGGAAACATCATTGCAAGGGATGGGCTCTACTTCATCCCACCATCTTCATGGTGGTCTGCTCTCCAGCTCCTACTTTCATGTCTTCTGTCAACACACCTTTTTTTCCTCTCTGCTTCTCAATCTGTGTCTCTATCTTCCACTGAGTCACTACTTCTTTTCATCTAAAGGGAAAAGGATCCCATTTGTCACAAAAGCCTCCGTTCCACTGCACTTCCATTACCACAAGACCTTTGCTTAGCCTTTCTCGTTACTTACAGTATTTATTAGCCGATGCGCTGGCTGCTTTACACATTTAATGTAGAACCATAAGGAAAGGGAACAAGTAACATGCACTACTATTCTTATGGCCGGTGTGCCACTGTCACACTCATCATACTCTGTACAAATTATTGATGGCATTCTTCCTTTTGTTCACAGAGCACACATTGGGGTTCCCATATCCTCTAGTACTACTAGTGGTGCAAAAGGGGGTTCAGTCTCCAGTCTTGCCAAAAGCTACTTAGCTTCAAAGATGTTACTGCATTAAGTGACCTCTGCTGTATCCAATCATTAGCATGGTATTAAAAAATAATCTGATAAGCCAGTCGGGTCAATACAAGGCTTCTCAAATAGAATAAAGATCAAATGCGAAGAGGACATAATCGATGGACTCCTAACAGGTCCCGTTCTCTCTGAAAGGCAGGGATACTTCAGATAATATTATATGAGCCTTTCCAACTGATCATGATGCACTAAATATGAACATCAAGAGTATCTCAAAATAAAGGCATGTTTCGTACAAATGAACCCAAATGCAAGCAAGCTGGGTACTGTATGACAGGGAAGAGGAAATCAATCAAGTCAATCTTTATGGCATAAACAAACCACCTCCTCCTGACCACAATTGTTGTGAAGATTTGAATAATGAAACAATTGAACTCCTTCAGTCAATATTTAAGAGAGAGAAAACTGAGTCCTCCAGGATTTAATATCCTGGATACAGTCCACAAGCATTGTGAAACAGCAACCTTCTTGAAGCTTAGCAGGCTTGAGGGCCAAACTGGACACAACACCAGTCATGCAATCAGTAATTGCCTAAGTGCCACAAGTAAATGGGCAAGGAGACTGGAAACGAGGGCTTTAACTCTTCACACACTCTGGACTTTGTTTTCGGTACAAAGCAGAGTAAGAGTGCTCTGGATGTGGAAGAGCTTCCTATAGTTCTGTTGTCATTGCCAGACCACTGCCTGTTGGGCTTTAGACTCACTGGAATTCAGACCCTCTGGGGTCCCTGGGACTGTACAGTTTTCCCAAAGCCACACATTAAACCAGTGGTCCCCAACCTTGGGCCTCCAGATGTTCTTGGACTTCAACTCCCAGAAATCCTGGCCAGCAGAGGTGGTGGTGAAGGCTTCTGGGAGTTGTAGTCCAAGAACATCTGGAGACCCAAGGTTGGGGACCACTGAATTAAACCACTGGGAGAGGTTGTTTGGAATTCAGTGCCACCAATACGTGGATGACACCCAACTCCATCTCTCCTTTCTATCCAACTCCAAGGAAGTTGTTCCTGTTCTAAACCAGCATCAGTAATGGACTCGATGAGGGCAGACAGACTGGGACTTAATCCAGACAAGATAGAGGTGCTCCTGGAAGCCTCAACTGAAAGGCAGACCAAAGAACAGTGATTCAGCCTATGGTGGGTGAGATTATGCCTCCCCTCCGAAACTCAGATTCACAGCTTCAGTGTACTCCTGATCTCATATCTGAGCCTCAATGCTTAGGTTTTGGCAATGGTCAGAGGTGCACTTGGCACATTTAAAACTGGTGCACCAGCAACGCCCATTGCTTGAGATGCCTGTTTTCATCATGGTGACACATGCCTTAGTTATATCCCACTGGGGTTACTATAATGCACTCTATGTGGGGCTGCCTTTGGAAAGTGTTCAGAAATTTCAGCTGGTTCAAAGTGTTGCAGCCAGGCTGCTGATCAGGATTGCTACAGGGAGCATGCAGTTTATTAACGCTTATTAACATGAAAGCTTTGTAGAAAGAAAGAGACAGAAAACACACAAACCAGCCGTCGAAGCATCCGGTCAAAATTCACAACTAAAATTCCCTCAAACCAAAAACAATTATAGGTTATCAATCAAGTGTTGACTTACTCTACATTCTTTGTCCAATCTGGAGGGTTGCTCATGGTCATAAATACACAGTTTGTCAAAATAGTGCACATAATAAGCATGCTGAATAATGTAAAATGCAGTCAAGGAATTTTGGCCATTAAATCAAACGTCATATTATAAAACAAATGACAGCACCCACTTAAACAACAACTTTCAGTAATGGCAGTGACTCTATAATCATCGTCATCATCTTCGAACTGCAGAGCCTGAAGGGACCCGGTCGGTCACTGAGTCCAGCCCCTGTCAAATAGGTACAGCGGGGAATTGGAACTCCCAACTCCTAACTCTGGCTTTGCAGCCCAATACCTAAAACACTGAGTTATCCAGCAGTTCACATAAACTGAATGGAAGATTCCAGAAGAGTGCCCATGGTAGTCTCTTGGGGGGGGGGAGCCCATCTACTTTTAAAAGATTCATTTACGTCAGCATAGGTTTCCTGAACAATAGAGCACATTAACAGTTAGGCCACTGTTCTGTCCACTACAGATGGTGTGCAAGCTCCACGCCCGGAGTTCTGGCTTGCTTTGTGATGATGTGGCCTGTGGGAGCAAACAGGCCAGAAAAGCATACAGCCTGAAAATCCCTGATAAACCCAATTAGCAAGGACTCCCTGCTCCTGATTTCAGCTGGCATTTCCAACAGCCCTTCAAAGTGCTACCTAAGAGCACTTAACTTCTCCACTGCTTCCCTACAGGGAAAAGATCTATCTGGTGCTTGGGCAGGCAAACTGGTGGCTCCATGCAGTCAGCCATTCAATCATTCTTGAGTGTTCACTGTTCACTAATCACAGTTCCGTAGGCAGTGTAGCATCTATTAAAAAAACAGAATGCCTTAAATATATATCTGTACACTACAAAACAATAATTAAAGAAACAGAAAACAAAGGCAGGATAAGAAAGTCAGGTTTAGGGGCTCAGCGATGTCCTCTGACATCAACTGAGCCACAGAAGACTTTGGGAAAGAAAAATCTGTCTGTCCCATATTTGTTACCTGCACTGTTTTAATATTTAAAGTGGATTTTGGGCTACACCCTGTTTTGTTTTATGCTTTAGGGCAGTGGTCCCCAACCTTTTCCGAACCATGCACCAGTTGGAGGACCAGATCTCCCGCCCCCCGGCATGACTCCCCCACATGCACACATGGCCCCACCAGTTGGAGGGCCAGATCTCCCGCCCCCCTGCATGACTCCCCCACATGCACACATGGCCCACCTGTACAGGGCGGTGGACCAGGGGCTGGGGACCCCAGCTTTAGGGCATTTTTTGGTGGTTTGTACAGGCCTTGGAGGATTTGGAGCACAAAAAATTGGCCCCCGATCTGTGTTAAAGATGTGAACAATCCAACTAAGAATTGGACAGTGCTATTAATTGGAGAGGTGCTATTTTTTAATCATCTCAGGCTAAGGATGTATGTAATGCTTATGGCGGACCAGGGGCTGGGGACCCCAGCTTTAGGGCATTTTTTGGTGGTTTGTACAGCCCTTGGAGGATTTGGAGCACAAAAAATTGGCCCCCGATCTGTGTTAAAGATGTGAACAATCCAACTAAGAATTGGACAGTGCTATTAATTGGAGAGGTGCTATTTTTTAATCATCTCAGGCTAAGGATGTATGTAATGCTTATTCCAAAATGACAAGGTTACAATACTAAGCAGTTCAGTAAGAACTCTGTCACTAAGACCTTCGACCAAGTTTACTCAGTGAATGATCCTGAATTGATACTGACACTCTAAAAAGTTTTAATCCACTAAAAGGTAATATCTGTTTGTATGCAGAGATGTGGCATATTAACATTGGAAGAATGCTTTGGATTTCATGCATTTAAAAACAACTACTTGAAAAAGGATATGAGTGTACCAAAATTTTAATGGCAATTTTTCTGAGGGGATTGAACGGGGTTAACAGGTACAAGGCAGATGTGGCACTGAATCGGAAAATCGCCTTCCCTTTATTCAATACTATGAAGGTCTGGAAAACAAGAATGTACAAATAGGAGGGGGAAAAAGTTAAACTTTTATATACAAAAAATATATTTTATACAGTCTGTTGTCAGCTCTTGTTCACCACTATTGCTGTATCCTTAGGAAATGGATTCAAGTATGGTCTACTCAAGTTATGTAGTAACTCTGTGAAGAAGGAGAAGAAGACATGAAGGAGGAGGAGGAGAAGGAGCAGCAACAGCAGCAGCAAGAAGAAGAAGAAGAGAAGAAGACATGGAGGAGAAGGAGGAGAAGGAGCAGCAGCAGCAATAGCAACAGCAACAGAAGCAGCAGCAACAACAACAACAACAACAACAAGAAGAAGAAGCATTTGAAGCCACTCTTTTTGTCCACATGGAACAGAATCCAACTAGGGATTTAAACTTGCATAGGCTGCCATGGCAAATTGCCACTATTTAATAAAGTGCTGGTTATGTTCCTGGGCATGCATTCAGTTATTCAATCAGGTGCACACCCAAGAACACAAATAGCATATGATTAATTAGCAACAACTTGTTACAATGATTTTACACCATTTGAATTCTGGAAGTGCAAATCATCGACTATATTCCAACCATTATAAACGGTGTCTTAGCTTGAAGTATTTGAAGATAATCAAGAAGGCTACTGAAATGTATGCATACATAAGTGCACTCAGATTTAGGTCATGGATCTCACAAATTTTTCTGAAGTGAACTGAGCAAGGACAGGAGGATCCATCAGCCATTCTCATCAGGGGCCATAAGGCCCCCTGGGGGGACCCTGGCACATTTGAAGGAGGCCACAAACTGGAAGCAATTCTTCACACACCACCTTAGAAGATTTCTTATTTGCCTTATACAATCCTGATTCTACCTTTATTTCTTTCATATTGTATTTATGGCCATGGCCAAAAGAAGGTTGAGAATGGCTGATCTAAAGAGTGATGAAGCAAGCATTCAATAAACACACAACAAAATGATTATTCAATAAACGCAAACATCATGTTTGACCAACTTCTAGAGCCTAAGGGTTTCCAGAAGAGTTTCTGAATCCTGCAAACCAGCTCTCGGTGTTCACTGCATTCCGATTTAGATCCCAGGCCAGCTCAAGACTATCTACCTCCCCAGGGTCTCAGGGACAATGTTACCGATAAGTCCATGTAAAAAGAAGCTTTAGACAGAAGTGTGTCTACTTTCCAGCGCTATGCAAGGTCTTTTTCTTGCTAGCATTATTTTGGAGGAAAATGCTCTTGAACACAATTGTGCAAGGACTGACTCTCTAGTGGACCAAGAAGAGATACAGCTGCAGGACCAGATTTAAAACAGCCTAGGCTTTGCTAGAACTACCCCTACTTTGACAAGAGCCATATTTTTGGTCTCTAGCTCTGGCTGCCAACCCAACCCCCTGCTATACAAATGCATCAGTCTTCTCTTAAAGCTGCTGTTTGTTCTGTTGGACAGCTCCCTTGCGACAGCTGCAGTCTTATAACTATAGTATTGGAGGGAAGAAGACACAAATAGAAACCCATCAGTAGAAATGTGCTCAGTAGAAATCAGTGCAGAAATACTAGGCGCATGCAACCTATATGTGTGTGGGGGTGTCTGTATCTATATCTATCTAAATTAAAGTATATATTTCAGCCTTATCTCTGAAGGTCCTGATCTCTTTTCCCATTTTCTTTATCATATTTTCTTCTCTCTCTCTCTTGGTCTCTCTATCCTTTCAGATCACTGCCTGTTGAAAATCTGTTTTTCCCCCTCCATTTGTTCTACTGCTTTCCCAGTCACTGCCAAAATTATATCTCTTCCCCTCAGTTTTTATGCCTACTCTGCACCGCTCCAGGATACAGGCAGTCTTCCTGCCAATGGCAAGAAGAAACCAACTCATCCAATAGCAATTGGCAGTCTTCAGGGGCGGACTAGCTCAGCCCATGGGAGCTCTTGGTCCAAGACACACTGTCAAAAGCAACTTCACTCTAATAATAAAGGCACTCTACTAAGACCACTGCTGCTAGAGATGCCACCATGACAAATTTGCCTCCCACGTTAGATGGGCAGCTATGAATATAGAACCCAGTCCAGATTTTTGAGGCCACTCACTCAGTGGGCCCCCCTTCCCTTAGTGGGACTCCCGACTCTTCACTGCCATGCTTTACCAGCTGCTGCGGTCACTCTTTCTTGCCACAGTTTCCAATCTACTTGTGAGGGATAAACCTGAAGTGAGTCAATGTGTGGGCACCTTCTCCTTCTCGCCAGTACCCCAACTCTGGGCATCTAGCAAGGGAAGGGCTTCACCAGATGCCCAGATTTTCCATCCATGCACAAACAAGTAAAAGGAAGCTCATGGATGTTGTCAGTAAAAACAATGCAGCTGACACTGAAATGACTTTGCAAAATTCCAAATGGTTTCATTCAAAGTGTTTCCAACTATAAACAGAGAACAGTTTGGCCAAGGCAGTATATACTGAGAAGACATCAGAAATTAATGTAATGAGAGAAATATATAAAGACTGTCAGAAACAGGTAAATTCCAAGTAGCCTGATGACAAACTCACTTTTTTATTGCTATAGTATGGGTCAAGGTCCTCCAATGGTTCAGACACCATCCCTGGAGGAATGTCTCCATATATAAATGGGAGTGTTTTTCCAGCTTCCAGGTCACTATTTGGCTTTGGCCCATTTTCATCATCGACATCTGGATGATCTTGTTTGGGCTTTTTAGCTTTCTCCTCTGCACAACGTTTTTCAATAGCTGAAAGAGATTCTCTCGTAAAATAGCGGAAGCTGTCAGGTCCTGGTGGTACCAGCAGTGCCTGTGCCATTTTTTCATCCTGCACATTTAAATTACGTTTAGCCTATTGCATAAGAATGACCTGCAAAAGAAACAGAAGGCAAAGAAGTGAGGAAAGCAGTCGGTGTTAATGCATCCATCACTAACTCCTCTAAACCCAAAATAAAGCCTGTCTCATGGAAAGGTGAAACTATAGGACAGGCTTTTCTCCCTTCAGGCAATTATCGTACCTCAGACTTTAACTCCTACAAAGCACAGAATCACTTAAGAAAGGGGGGAGAGGTAGGAAATGCCTGGGGTCTACTAAGTCAACAGGTCAAGGTCAAGCCTCTGTTTCAGAAGTACAGCAGATTATCTGTGGAGCAGCCACGGACGTGTGAGGCAGCATCCTACCCAGGGTGCAGGAAAATTAAGAAGATTCAGAAATCTCTAAGGGTCTGTCATGCTAACTGGAAAGGCTGCAAACCATAACAGATCATAACTTTACGAGGTACTATTCTACCCATAACTGGACTTCTGTTCTGAACAGGCTACAGGTGGTCACTACAGTCCAACCCATTTCTGAGGCACGGTGGTGCTCAGGAAGAGTACAATAAGAAAGGTAAATGGTCTGACTCTGTATTGAGGGTAAGGTAAAGAAAGGAATGGAAGGGGGAGCCAGTGGACCAAAAAGAGGAGGAGGAGGAGGAGGAGGAGAGATCTAAGAAGCAGCAGGAGTGATATATCAGACTTTGGTCCAGATGCAAGACTGAAATGGACCAACGATATAGAGTCCTCTGAAATGCCTCAGAAGGGGATTCATGAAATACAGGTGGCCAAGTGGACCTGCAGTACCCAGTATGGTGCAGCGGATAGGGTGGTGAACTAGGGCTCTGGAGACCAGAGTTCAAATCCTTGCTCAGTCATGGAAACTCACTGGGGGCGTGGAGCTGGGAAAGGTAAAGGTTCCCCTTGACAATTTTTGTCCAGTCGTGTTCGACTCTAGGGGGTGGTGCTCATCCCCGTTTCCAAGCCATAGAGCCAGCGTTTGTCGGAAGACAATCTTCCGTGGTCACATGGCCAGTGCGACTTAGACACGGAACGCTGTTACCTTCCCACCGAGGTGGTCCCTATTAATCTACTCGCATTTGCATGCTTTCGAACCGCTAGGTTGGCAGGAACTGGGACAAGCGATGGGCGCTCACTCCGTCACGAGGATTCAATCTTACAGCTGGAGATCTACAGACCTTACAGCACAGAGGCTTCTGCAGTTTAACCCGCAGCACCACCACGTCCCTCTAACTGGTAAAACCACACCTTAAATCCCTCACCTACCTGAAGGCCCTCTTAAGGTAGCTATAAGCTGGCACATAGCAACAACAAGTGGAACTATGCAGATGTGAAAATGGGGAAGTGGCTCACATTTCCCAAAAATGAAACATAACCAAACAGCTGAGACGAAAAAGGGAAAAATGTGCCGTACCTTTTTATTTCTGGGCAGTGTTGAAATAGAGCCACTGGATCTGTCCATATATTTATTTGAGTGGAATACACAATGGCTTTAGACTAAAAAAATCTTCTTTTCCTCTAAGGACAAAATGAATTCAAAGTGCCGCATATTTAATACCAGGTGAGTTTCTCCTTTCAGTTGATTCCGGGCATTGTGGCCCACAAAAAAAGGTAGTTAAAAAAAGTTTCTAGCTTCCAGTCACATCACCACATATTTCTTCAAATTACAGAGGACCTTGAGAAAATTAAAATCAGAAAAAGATTGAGTTTCATATATAACATGAAACACGACATGGATGGAGACTGTTAGAAATGCTCATTCATTTCATGATACTCAGTTTATTGAAAGCCTGATATATTCTAAAGACATTTTTACAGAACAGACCCAAGAAAGATATTTTCTGAGATGACTGCCACCATAGTTGCAGGGGTGATGCCCAAATTATGGAAATCTTTTCCCTAGCAGGCCCTTTTGACCTTCATTCTCCTTCTTTTTTAGCACTTGATATCCATGTTGCTATTTCAGTAAATGTTTGATCTGGAGGGCAATGGAATTGCACTATTCACCACTCCACAAATTTAAAAATTCTTTACTAATACTGGTGTTTTATCTGTCTTTTTTGTCAGAACTTAACTATTTTGTTACTTTTATTCGGCTTTTACAAATTATGGCCAAAACATTAGATAGATAGATACAGTGGTGCCTTGCCAGACGATTACCTCGCAAAACAATGAATGGCTAGATAGGTACAGTGGTGCCTTGCTAGACGATTACTTCGGAAAATAATGAATTCACTAGACGATGACTTTTTTGAGCGATGCTGAGCTTCACAAAACAATTGTTCCGATGGGCGATTTTCGCTGGACGATGTTTGCCTCACAAGATGGTGGATTTTTGGACCCTGTTTCGCAAGATGGTTCCCCCCCCGTTTTTTTGGACCCTGTTTTGCAAGATGGTCCCCCCCCCCATTGGAACACATTAATTACACAATACCTACTTTTTTATCCCAAAAAAGTAGGGGAGAAAGTATAGGCTGCTGGCTTTCCAGGAGGCAGACCCTGGAAAGCCAGCAGCCTACACTTTCTCCCTCACTTGTTTGGGATAAAAAAATGATCTTATGTACAGTAATTAATGTGTTCCAATGGGGGGGATTCATCTTGCAAAGCATCACCAATGGGGTAATTACACAATACCTACTTTTTTATCCCAAAAAAGTAGGGGAGAAAGTATAGGCTGCTGGCTTTCCAGGAGGCAGACCCTGGAAAGCCAGCAGCCTACACTTTCTCCCTCACTTGTTTGGGATAAAAAAATGATCTTATGTACAGTAATTAATGTGTTCCAATGGGGGGGATTCATCTTGCAAAGCATCACCAATGGGGCTATGGCTGCGAATGTGTTCCAATGGGGGGGGAATTCATCTTGCAAAGCATCACCAATGGGGCTATGGCTGCAAATTTAAATGGCAGAGGATGGTGAAAACAACCAGGAACCAAAGGGTAAAGAGACTGTAAAAACACTAAGGAAATCACAATTGCAATCCCTCATTAACACAAATTATGCAGTTGAGTTCCCCACATTTAGGGAAATCATAGGGATCAGCACATGCGAAGTGCAATGGATGAGCCTCACCCTGAGAAAACCACTTTCATGACCATGGCATTTCCCCTGCAAGGTATGAGTTGGAGTGGCCCTTGTACCTCCTATCCCCTTCTGTGGCCTGTCTCCCCAAGGCATGGTGACCCCCTGGCTGCACCTCCCACTCAGTACAGGGCTGCACAGCCCCAGTCCTGCCAGAGGCCAAGAGAGCTCCTCAGTGTTTTGGGGTGCCCTGCGGGACCCCCATCAGGGGCTAGGTGTTCCTCCCACAATCCTCTAGTGTACAGGTATTAGCATATGACCTTATGAGCTTTCCTCTATCCACTTTATCCACCCCCTGCATAATTTTATACATCTCAGTCATGTCCCTCCTCAGGAGCCTTTTCTCTCTAGACTAAAGAGCCCCAAACACTGTACCCTTTCCTCATAAGAGAGGTGCCCCAGCCAAGTCATTGGTTTAGTTGCTCTTCTGTTCAACCTGGAAACAACAGGATGAGCAACAGATACACACATCCTCCTTGAACCACAACCACGACGGGTTCCTTAACTAATGTAATCTGTGACATATCTGGATGAGGATTCTCAATACAAAAGAAAAATAAAGATTTTTTTAAAAAAGTAGGATGTTAATAGTGGCATTTAGTCAAAGATTAAATTTTAAAGCATCTTAACACTTCATTGCTTTTACAGCACCTGTTCATTACCATTTCCTCTCTTTCTCTTGCAGCTCTTTCTCTCCTATTCACTGCTGGGGAACATACCCTGTCTGAATACTGTACTTCCACGCAAGGTCCTACTGTTTTCATAGTCCTAGGAAATTTCTTATGTGTTGGGAGACGTGCTTGATAGCTGGACAAATAATTTGATTGCATTCTCTTCCCCCCCCCTTTTGAAGAAATAAATCCCCCATAAATCGAGCATAATTTTGCAAGTATAGACTTTGGTTTGTGAGAAACTTGGTAAGGTCTCAAAAATGTGGTGCAGAAGCTCCAGAGTAGGACTAAAGAGACCCATCATTCATTTAATGATGAATCTTATCATAGATCACTATTTCTCAACCCATCTCACAAGACTCATGAAGCTCACATTGGGGACGAGTAGGAGTGAGTGACGGAGGCTGCTTTGAGTTCATTAGAGCAGTGGTCCCCAACCTTTTTGACTCCACGGACTGGTTTAGTGTGTGGGCGGGGAGTGGGTCCGTGCATGTGTGGGAAGGGCTGCGTGTGAGTCCATGCGTATGGGGGAGGGGCCATGTCGGGGAGGGTCTGTGCATGTGTGGAAGGCATCATGGGAGGGGCCATGAGAAGGGCCATGGGTGTGTGGGAGGGGCCATGTGTGGATAGGAGAGGTGTGCATGCATCTGTGCATGTGCAGGGGCAAGGAGATTTGTCTCCAGGGCCCAGTCCTGGTAAGGCCACAGACTGGGACTGGTCCACAGACTGGGGGTTGGGGTCCCCTGCCTTAGAGGAAAGGGGTGTGTGGGTGTGTAAAACATGCACATGCACGCGCACACAGACACACACACACACAGGGGGGAGCACTATGTGCTGTCAGATCACCTCCTGCTTATGGTGACCCTATGAATTAGCGGCTTCCAAAAGCTTACGGCTCTGCTCAAGACTTGCACACTGAGGGCCAGAAGTTTCTTTACTAAGTCAATCTACGTCATGTTATGCCTTCTTTTCCTTTTGCCTTCAACTTTTTCCAGCACTACTCTCTTTTCCAGTGAGTCTTGCCTTCTCGTGATATACCTAAAGCATCATAGCCTCTTTTTAGGGTAGGATGAAGAGATACAGACGTATTAAAATAAATAAAACGTGTGTGTGTGTATGCTTGCGCATGCACACATACATGCACTTCTGAAAATAATCAGAAATCTTTGTATACTCATTGTTTTAAACTTTAAAAATATTGTATTTCATTGTTGTAAGCTGCCGAATCAGAAATACTCATTGTTTTAAACTTTAAATATTGTATTTCATTGTTGTAAGCTGCCTTGGTTCCTTTTCAATGAGAAAAGCAGGGTACAAACATTTTAAATAAATAAATAAATAGATAGATAGATAGATAGATAGATAGATAGATAGATAGATAGATAGATAGATAGATAGATAGATAGATAGATAGATAGATAGATAGATAGATAGATAGATAGATAGACAGACAGACAGACAGACAGACAGACAGACAGACAGATAGATAGATAGATAGATAGATAGATAAATATCTTTGTTTAATTATACCACCTTCATGAGCTATAGTGAGTGAGGATGTGTGAACAGATAGACTTGAAATATAATTAAGTCTAATACAGGGGTTTATGACTAACATTTTCACAAAGTTGCAGTTGCAGTTGTTTTAGTACTTTGCTATTCTTCAGGTGAACTGGGTAATCATTTTGGAATTGCAGGGCTGGATCACTGAGTCCAGCCCCTGCCAAGGAGGCACAAATGGGAGGAAATCGAACTCCCAACCTCTGGCTCCACAACCAGATACTTAGGGCATTGAGATACCCAGCAGTTCCAGTCTAACAGCCTGGAAGTCAATCTAATTGGGTTCAACAGGATTCTTTCCCTAGTAAGGACTCTAGGCTCAAATGGTGGAACCTGCAGCTATTCTTCATTTTGATAACAAGCTAAAACAATGCTCTCCTGAATAATTTTGATACCAACTTACCCTTCTCAACACACTACAACATAACCTACGTGATGAGCCTTCGTTCAAATGTTTAGTGTAGGGAATCTGTCATACCGTTCGAAAGCCCTGGAAATGGGTGAATGCTTTCAAACCAGAAAAAAATGAGAAATTAAGTTTCTATTTTGGATTTCATTTCTCCAGCTTTCATCTTTAGCTGTCTAGCAAGGCAGAGCATATTTGGATACAGTGCTTTGATTTAATATACAGTCACCCTGGATTCACGGCGAGGCAATGATGATATCCATTTCTTCTAATGAGCCTTACTCTGTCAGTAAGACGCAGAATGGAATGCTATTCTTGCTAACTTCACTCCCGGTTATTTGGCAGCTTTCCCAAAACAAGTACCTTTAAAAGGTACCAGACTGTACTTTTTCATCATTTCTTGTCAGTGAGACCAATAGCTATGCTGTCTGGGGAAATAAAGGAATTGTATGGCAGCACATCTAGAGTGCACCAGCTTGGAGAAGCCTGATTTATGGCATCCGGCACAGTAGTCTTTGACTCTTTCATTTTTGAGATTCACAGCTAATCTTAGTCTGCCCATTACTTAATTCTTTGTACCACATATCTCTTTTAATTCCACTTCTCTTTGTATTGCTCTTCTCCACATGCTCCCCGCCACTCTCTCTTTCTTTCTCTCCTTATCTTTTATAAAAGAGTCAAATTAAAAAATCGTGGCGGTCCTATGTGAACCCCATTTAGGTCAAAGCACAATCAGTGATGGCCTAAGACATTGTGGTGCCCGGAGCCACACACATACACAATCCCTATGCTCAGCACTTTAAAAGGGTCTGTGGCACCATTAAGATATCGGCTGCTGTCTTCATCTATCAGGCCAGCGTGGACTATAGTTGCTGGCCTCATTCCGCTGCATGGCAGTGCCAGCCTTGGTCTTAACAGTCTGGAATTCCAATCCACCAGTTAAAGCTCAATGATGACTG